GCCATGATATGAAATTATTATCTTATTAATTATGTTTACTCAACTTGGTCATGATATTAATGAGAATAAAGTTCAAATTTTTTTATTAGTTTGTGAAACATTCTTATATATAGCAACAATAACCCCATTTCAGGCAGTGCTGGTCATGTCTTTGATATTTGTACTTTTCATGGTATTTTACATGACCAGCTCTTACTGCTTTGGGAGAAAAAAATGAGTGGTACCATTATAACTTAGCATTTTCTTTAAAAATATCCACAGTTTATAGCTTTCCTTACTCCTTTATTGTAATTATTCACTGAGGTATTTCCATACCAAATGTGCTCTCTTTTATGATTCCTTAAGCTTAAAAAATATTGCATATACCTTGAGGGAATTGGATCATTTCTATTTCGCATTGCACTTGAGTAATGCTTTGAGTTGAATACTCTGAGGGTTCTAAAATTAAGTTAATCCATATGTAATTGGGAATGTTCTTAACTAGACAGTCTTGGTTAGCAGGAGATTGGCAGGTTATTCTGAAAGTCTAGCAAACCATAAATAGCAATTAAATGAGAAAAGGCTAAATTTCTCTTGAAAATGTGTTGTTGTCATAACTTAATATGGCAACATGATTTTCTGTTTTTAATTGTTGTAGACTATTTGTAAGATAGAATTTTGCCTTCTGAAAGCTTGATAGTTCTATAATTTTGTACCACTTATGCTTTTTAGCACTTGAGTAAGTATTTTGCCTTTGCCAGCCCCTTTGATTTACGATGAATAAAATAAACTAAAGGTTAGTAAAGATAGTTTTGTGTTTATTAAATACATTGAGACAAAATGAATATCCTGGAGAAACTAAGTATTTCTCTTTTGAGACTTTGTGTAATTTATTATCCCTTTAAAAAATAACATAGTACTTTTATTCCCAGTACAGTTATACTTAACTTTGACGGTAAAAGGTGTTCCTTTTTTAATTCAAAGAATGAAAACTTTGCTCCATACTCCATGTCAATATTGGGATTCAGGGTGGATTTGAACGTGCTAAATTCATGATTCTGTCCCCTCCTGAGATGCTATGTACTTAATGCGCTCTGTAGTCTCTTACTTGTTTCTCCATTTGCACAAGTCATTTCAGAAGGAATTTATGACAGTGACATCTTTTAGTAAATAACAGTAAGTTATAGTCTACTGTGTACAATAACTGTAGATGCTCAGCTACTTAAAATTACCTTTATCACTTAAAATACATTTTCTTTTATCTCCTAATTAGCATGAAAATACAGAGGAGGTTATTTCTTCAATTAAATGTGCAAGATTAATCACTAGGCAATTTGTTTCACATTATAAAATAATTAAATGTAAAAAATGGAGTATTTACTTATTTACCCCTACATACCTGTGAAAAAAGTGTTGGAAAAGTGCAAAAATATAATGCTATTTGCATATATTTTTATTGAGCCAACACTAAGGCTTGCACCTAACTGGAATCTATTAATTAATACCAGAACTACCTAAGCCATTCATTCTTACTATAGTTTCCCATGCTATTTTAGAAAATGAGAAATTTTTCCATATTCAGAGTAGAGCCTGGGGGTGGGGCAGGGTTGGCAGCAATGGGTCTAGCTCTTCAGTGTTCTGGGAACAGAGATAAGTTGGGGTTTGTTTTGTTTTGTTTTTTAACTAACAGGATTTTCCAAAGTACCATCAAAGTGAAGCAAGTGAAGAGAGAGGTATGTGTTACTTTTCTGCTTTGCCCTTGCTTTTATTTTCGCTGCTCTGCACTCCTGATTGCAACACCACCAGATCAGAATGAACAATTAACTGTCTAATTATTCCAGTCACACCAGCCCACAATGAAATCTTTATTCCGTGTTTACAGCAATCTTTGGCAGAGGCTGTCTTGCTGTTTCTAAACTAAGAAGAACTGCCCTTTGGCTCCTCTCAGCATCAGCTGCCTTGGTTTCAGCCTTGGATGCCAATAATCAGACTGCTTTTTCTTCCAAAGTAGACATTTTTTTTTTAGGGTGAAAAGACCTATTCTCATCACCCCCCATATATTCTGGCTGATTTATGTTCTAGCCACTGCAGCTCTTCCTTCCGTATCTCTTTACATTTTTCCTCTGTCCATAGAACACCACCAGGCAAACCCCTATTCTAAATCTAAAACTGGAAAAAATGCTTAACCAAACAGTGCTCACTACTATGAAGGAAAGAAAAATACAACTACTGGTTTATGGGGAGAGGGAAGTCAAGGAAATCCCTCTTGCTTTTCTAAACTGCTAATTTTCTAGCTCAAATGGCATTCAATGACTTCTCCACCAGGGGAAAACGTATTCACTTTTCAGTGGCTCTCTTGATTACTTCCAACTATTTACTTAAATTCGCCAATAGCTGCATGTCTTTGGGAAGCTTCAGAGGTTGAGGAATATTTACAGATATATAAGGGGCTGAAAGAGTACCTCTGAATCTCTTTGAAATGGCAAGGGCGAGCTATTGCAGTGTACAGGCAGGGCCGGAGAAGTTAACACCAACCCACAGATAAGATGCAGGCAATGCCTTTACCAAAAGGAAGAGGGAAAAACACCTGGGTTGGCCCTTTTTGAACCATCTGATGGAGTCCCCTCCCTGGACCTGAGAGCAGATGGTGGCCAATGCTGGATCTCATTGCTCAACCGTCCTTCCCAGAAGAACATTTTCCTATTTTGCAGGGATGATGGCATCTTTGTTCCCATACTGGTCTCCAAACCCTCTGTGACGGTTCCCCTAACAACCGCTGTTCAGCTCTCAGCTCCCAGCGCTTACCACATTTGCACTGCTGATCCTGTGAGAAGTGGGTCATAAAATTTTACAGGGGAGAAAGGTAGAAGGGGGTGGTTCAGTAGTATAAACACTGATTAAATTCCTGGGCAACTCGCCCTAAATGAAAGATAATTTTTTCTACAAGTATGTACAAGCATGTCAAGAATGCTAAGTCATTTTTATGTGTGTACTTCTCCGTTTTAATTTCACACTGCCACATGGCACACATGCTAAAAATGTATCAATCTCCTTAACCTGCAGTGTAGCAAACTTTTCACAAAACTTTAAAAATGCATATTTTATGGACTGTCCTTTCCCAGGATGCTCAAAGCATTTTGGGGATACAAAATGACAACTATCCTATTAGGAAGGGATGGCTATGGGTACACTAGCAAACAGGGAAAATCCGCACTGGGAAGGAAAGGTTATACCAAAGTCAGTGGCAACAGCCTACCCAGACTCTGAGATCTTGGTTCCAATTCATACTACTTTCTGCTTGCTCTTCATTTGTCTCTCTGACAGGAAGGGATGTGGCCAGCAAGGAGGTTTGACCTCATCTCCCATACTGGTTTAACTTGGACACTATTCTCCCACACTCCTGCCCTATTTTCTGAGTCATCAGCTGGCCAAGCCTGTTCCATGGAGGAGTTCTAACCAGGGGCCACGCCAAGAGGAGGCAGCCGCAGGTGCCCTTGTGGCTGCCTCCAGTGTTGGGAACTGAAGCCTGCCCCTGCCAAGTAGTAACATGCCCAGTGAGACTGTGAGGGTCACACTAAGAGAAAAATTAATTTCCAGACAGTATAATACACAAGAGGAAAAAGCTGGGTCAAGCATGGGGTTCCAGACTGGCAGTGCCTTCAGGGTTCCACTGCCAGATGATGCAGAGAAAGGTAATCAGTTGGCATTAATATTCATTTGTGGCCTTGGTGCAAGCACATTTCACAGTTGTGACTTTTTCTTGTTTTCACTGTTCTTAGGTAGATCCAGTTCCTTAGCTGGATCCCTGACACTGCCACATCTCTGTGGGGTAATTTTCTTTGGTGGGGAAGATACATCAGGAACCAGAGGGTGTCAGGGGACATTTTATTTGGGGAGGGGCAGGCTCAGTTTCCAGGCGAACTATAACAGTCAGAAGACAAAATCCTTCCTGGCATTTCTGCCAATAACAACATCAATAGCGTTAATACTGGTGATAATAATGGCAACAATAATGAAACAGCAAGCTGTGAATCTTTCAGGCGACCAAGCAATCCCCCATTGATCTGCTTCCAGTGCTCTTACTCCCTGCCTGGTCTCCGCAGGAAAAGAAAGGCTCTGGCGCTGCCTCGGGGCTGCCCTCCAGGTTTCAGCCCCCAGCCCGCCCCGAGGTGGATAGCCAGGCAGAGGTCCGGTTTCAGCCTAAGTCCAGCTCACAGTCTCTCCTGTTGCTAAGGGCCAGGTGGGTTTCCGCTGTAGCATTTCCTTTACAAATCTGCAACTTTCACCTCTCACTGCCCCCTCACCTCAGTACTTCCGCCCTACCCAGTGCAACTACAATGTGCAAAGCCCAAACAACCCACACGCAATCCAGCAATTCAGAGCTTTCCCTGGGAGTGTCAAGGCCCGGGGACAGGAAATCCGGGGAGTTAGCTATGTCCGGCAGGTGGTCGGGACACAAGTCATCACCACATTCTTCTCTCTCTCGGCTGAGCTCGGGTGGGGGTGCTGCTCTAAGCACGACTGCAACCGGACTCACAGGCGCCTGGCGCCTCCCCGGAGCCTGGATCTCTAGTCCCCCTTCCAGGGTGGGCATCCCTAAGCGAGGGACGAGGGACGCAGCTGGCCCTCTTCCATGGGCAGCTGGAGGGAGGCGCCGCCCTTGGGGCAAGCGAGAGCGAAGCCCAGCCTAGCGCCCCAGCGAGTCTCCCTACCCCCGCGTGCCCAGCTCCGGCTGCCAGTGCCCGCATCCTCCTTTACCCCGCTGCGCCCCAGCTTTCTTCTCCCAGAGAGCAGTTCCTCAGTCCAGACATCCCTTCACGTCCCCTTCCTCCCAAAGTCCGAGGAAGTCCGATTCCCACCTGCCCGCAGACTCGCTGCGGAGGCGAGTATTTGCAGGGAGAGCGCGTCAGGGAGCAGGACCCCGCGCAGAGCCTGGGATCGACTTCCCCCCGAGAGACTGGGCTCCAGCGCCCGGAGCCTGGGGACAGACGCAGGGGCCTGACCCGAGCTCTCCACTTTACCTGGCACGGCCGGCGACTCTCCGAGGACGTTTGGTCCAGGCTCCTCCAGGGCGGGAGTCCAGCTCACATTGCTGCCAACCCCACAGAGCGACCGGTGTCCTGCTGGGTCCCTTTGCCCCCCGCTCACGGCTCTGCCCCCGTCCCCCCACCCCCACCCCCCTGTCCCCTCCGTCAGAAGTGTCACCGCTTTTCTGCCTCCGGATCTTTTGCAAAGTCTCCGCGTGGTCACCAGGAGTTGGGCGGCAATGCCGGGAGCGCTTACTCCGCGGATGCCCTGCCCCTGCCTTCCCTCGGCCCCCTGCACTGGACCCCGCCAGGGAGAAGACCTCTTATTTGTGGTCACCGTCCCCTGAGCGTGGTGCGCAATCCGCTTCCACTCCCTCGCGCCTTCACTAGCCGGAGTGGCTGCCGCCTGCCTGTGCCGCGGGTCCTCATTTCCCTTCTCATGAATATTCTGACAGAGGCTAATGCCGGTGAAAATTGAATTAGCCAATTGGTGCCAGGAATGTGGGCTTCGCTCCTTCCTTCTGAGGAGCTGTCAGAACACCACCAGAGGAAAGCAATTAGCCTCCGATTGGCACCCTGTGGTTTAGACCAGTGAGGGGCAAAATGGGTTAATTCTTTAAATGCAGTTTAGATGCCTATTTAAACTCTTCTATTGGCTGAGAGAGTGAGGAAATGTTAAGAGGAAGAGGAAAGGGGGTAGGCAGATTTGGGGGGGGGGGGCGGGAATGGCATATCTACATCCAAACCCCATTGAAATGGAAGTTGAAGTGACTTATTCTGCATAGATTCTAGATTCAGGAAGAGGCAGTTAACAGAAAAAGATAGGCAAACAGGATCAGAAAAGAGGTGAATAGCATCCTAGGTTTAACCTTGACCTTGAGGGTGCAGAGGATGCTAATTTCCAAGAGGAGGAGTGAGGAGAGATCACAGAGGGAGAAGAGAACCTCAATCATTGATCTACCAGTGAGGAGGGGGTCAATGGGGGAACATCTGTCATACTTTCAACAATAAAGATAAATTTTAAAAAAGGATTTAGCCACATGCTCATATTTCCTTCCATTATCATCATAACAAAACCATAGAGTTTTAAGCCTTTGGATGAAGTAGGATTGGAGCAGAGGTACTTGAAAGGGCAGAAGTTTCAGAGGAGGAAGCTGAGACTGCCTTGGTGAAGAGCACTTCCCAGTTTACACAATAACTATGACAGAGCCATTCTAGGAGGCGATTCCAACTATAGACCAATCTTCAATATTCTAGGGTCAAATAGGCAAGGTAAACAGGAGGGACAATCTCTCTCTTGTCTCCTGCCCTACAATGTCAACTTCTTCAGTTACTGATTACATCTTGGCTTTAGCCAGTTGGTAGAGAGGAACTCTGCCCAGTTCTGCATCCACTTCTCCCTTTATAATCTTTACATGTGGTACTTTTAGGATTTCCTCTCCTATCAGTGATTTTCTAAATACAGAAAGTTATTTTGATTGAATAGCTTAATTACTAAACGATCTACTTGTGCTTGTGGTCAAATGATCTATGTAGATAAACAACTGATAAAATGATGTGTATAAATAATTGATACAATCCCCAAGTGTGTGCCAATAGAAATAAACATCCTGCTTAAGGCAATTCTGCCATATTTTAATATGTATCAGAAAGATCTAGAATTGGAACTCACAGTTATAACAGTAATCTATATATATAAAACCCTAATATGCAAATAGACCGAACAGTGGAACAACTGAACAACCGGTCACTATGACGTGCATTGACCACCAGGGGGTGCACGCAGAACATGGCGAGCATTGGCAGCAGGTGGCAGAGCGCGGAACATGGTGGGCGTCAGCTGTAGCGGGATAGTGGAGTAGGTGAGCAGGGGCTTCAGACCAAGGTGGGGCGCCAGTTGCTGTCATCGGGGTGAGCCTCTGGTGGTTACTGAAAACTTTTTGCTCCTGCCTGGCACTCACCCCTGCTGCCGGTGCCAGAGCCACAGCTCACATCCGTTGCTAGTGCCTGGCGCTGGTCCCAATTGCTTGGTGCCGTCAGCAGGTATGAGCGGCAGCTGCTGGCCCCAATCACCCCTGGGGGCCTCTCCAACTCCCCTGCTTCTGAGGGGCAATCAGGGCAGTAGCTGCTACTCACACCTGCTGATGGCGCCGGCCCCGCTCACAATAGATGTTGGCGCCAGCCCCAATTGCTCCATGCCATCAGCGCATAGGAGCAGCAGTAGGGGCAGCGAGGCTGCCAGCAGACCTAGGACCAGGGGGCCGCAGTGGGAGGAGCAGGATGGGGGCACAGAAGATGGGCCAAGACCCACCCCTGTGCCCATCGCAGCCTTGTGGTCCACAGTTCCTTTCAAGGTGCATGAATTCGTGCACTGGGCCCCTAGTTATTCATATTAGAGCAGTTTATTGAGAACTTTTATGTGACAGACATGCATTTCATGAGTCATCTCATTCAATCTTTCCAACTACTACTATATTTAAATATATTATTTCCCCATGTTAGTAGATGAGGAAGGCGAGACTCAGAAATGTAAGTAGTGTGTCCAGGTCACCTATCTCATAAGCAGTGGAGATGAACTTTGACCTAAACTAGCCTAATCAATATGCCACAGCCTTCAGGTACCAGCAGCTTAACTGCCTCCTTATCTAAAAAGAGAACCAGATCCTTGGTGTTTTGTTGAAGTGATTTGTCCTTGATGATTAATTTATTGCAATTTAGAGGGGAAAAAAGTTGTGTTTTTGAGGAATGGTGTGATTAATTTTATGTGTCAACTTGACTGAGTCACAGGGTGCCTGCATGTTTGGTCAAACATTACTCTGGGTGTTTCTGTGAAGGTGTTTTTTAATGAGATTAACATTTAAATTGGTAGACTAAGTAAAGCAGGTTGCCTTCTCAATGTGGTGGGCCTCATCCAATCAGTTGAAAACCTGAATAGAACAAAAAGGCCAACCCTTCCCTTAGTAAGAGAGATTTCTCCTTCCCGGTGTCTTGAAACTGGGACTTGTCACCTTCAATAACTGCACAAGCCAGTTCCTTATTATCTATCTCCTATTCTGTTTCTCTGGAGAACCGTAATGCAGATGGATACATTCAGTAAATCCTACTATTTGTGAATTTCCCATGAGAGTATGAATATTTTCATCTTCCAACATATTGTCTGGTATTAAATATATAGTAAATATACATTTTTACTTAACATTTTCAGACTTTTAATCCTACTATTAATAAGGGAAGAATATAAATATATATATATATATATATATATATATATATATATATATATATAAATTATGTAGAGGAGACATAATCAAATTTAATGAAATTTTACCTTTCAGGAGCTAAAAAGTGGACTAAAATAGACTGGCTTAAAGCAAAACTTATAGATGTTATATGAGTGGAGAAATTTTAGTATTACAATTTCAGGGGTAGAAGTGATCAGGTTAAATTTGGCAGTAGTTGAGTACCTACTAAATGCAAGACACATTTCTATCAGATATTTTCTATTAAAGTTCACAATTCAATCACTTAAAACAGTTGAGGATCTGCAGCATTTTACTCTCTGAAACTTTGGGTAGTTTAAAACCCTTTGTAAAAAAGAAAAGGATATACTGTTTTATCCTTGCATTAAATATTTAAGATGTTCCCTGTACGATTCCTCTCTTACAATGCTCTGTTGGATACTTCTTTTAAGGAGAGTATCCTCTTAGGATTTAGAAGCAACATTTCACAGAAAAGTCTTCAGACATTGGAATGTTTCTATATGTGAATATGTTAACATGATTTGAGGACCCATAAAATGTTGTCAGGACAAGTGCTTTCTGCAAGTCTCCAGTGTTATAGTGGGCAGTGTGGGGGGAGGACCACGGCACTGGGGAGGGGTGTGGGGCAATCTTGGACAAGCCAGTTACCTGTGGAGCGAGCCAGATTATCGCCTCTGTAAAGTACAAATAAAAATGCCATATTTCTTGGGTGCTTTTCTACTTACATATTGCTCTACTGCATGCTCTCTCATTCCATCCTCCTGGTAACCCTGTGGGTTTAGCATTATTATCCATATTTAATTGATGAGGCAAGTCAGGCTCACAGAGATTTAGAAACACACATATAGCTTCTCCTAGGAACAGGCAAAACAGGAACTATAATTCAATGAAAAAGTCACCTTCTCATGAAAGACATGTTTGATATCTCCCTCTATCTGCACCTCCACACATACATTTCTTTTCCCAGTAGAAATACAATACCCTCCTTTGTGTCCCCCTGGGATTTCTAAAATGCATAAATAATAATTGGAATACAATGTGTTGTCTCTACTACTAAACAAAAGCAGCCTAAAGTTAGGAACCTTGTCTTAATAATTTTGTATCCCCAAATTTAGGTTAGCGGAGGTGCTCAGAAAACCCACTAACACCAATTCTGCACAGTTCCAAAAATATGTCTTATTGACTTTATTGGGCTATTAGGATTAAATGAAATAGTTGGCAGGCACTTTGGAAACTTAAAAACACCATGTAATGATATAATTATTTTTACTGTTCAAAAGTAGATTTAGAAATAAATATAATAATTTTAGCTTTGACTTCTGACTGATAAATTCTGTTGATAAGAAAGCAGTTTGATACTTTTTGTCAGCTACTGTTATTTAGGGCATGTATGGATAACACTTGCTCAGATAATAATTGTCTGATTAATAGTAATACTAAACTGGCCTATTAAGCAAGAAGGTATTAGTCTGAGAAAGGTGAATGAGTGTTTGTGCGTGCGCGCGCGTGCATGCATGCACATGCAGTTTAAGATTGTTTCATCTTTCTGCAGTTTAAGATTGTTTTTTGTGAATGAGCAGCGGCAGTTGCTAGTATAGCTGTGTTTCTCTAAGAAAGGGATCTGCTTTTCTCCTATGGAATGATCTTTATTAAGAGCTCCCGAGGTCACAGAGTGAATGGCCAAGCTGGGGCTCCTGACCCTTGTTCAAAGCTATTTTTGTTACCTCACACTGACCATGATTGGCAGCCACTGCCCATACGGTGTGGTTTATGGTTTTACAACTGAGAGGAGCAATAAGCAGCTAAATACCTCCTTATAATTAGTCTCC